GCTTGTGCTGGAAAACTCTCCTGGCAGCTGGAGAGCTTAGTCCAAGCTAAGAAACATCAAGTCATTTAGCTGGCAAAAGGGAGAGATTTGGTTTTTGTGATTTTCAATCCCCTTCTTCTGACAGACCATCTTTCTGGAAATAATGAGGAGCCCACCTGATTTTGGAAGTTTAGCAGGAGGAGCTGTGGGGCAGGGACAAACAAGACACTGGTGTCTCCTGCTGTCCTACAAGCCCCACCTGAGTGTGAAGAGGGTAACTAATACTCCAGAAAGGAGAGGAGTGGCTATCCTTGTCCTGGTTTATCACTAAAATTCTGCTTGATGCACACAGGGAGTCCAGATAAAGGGATTGTTACCTTATCTTGGCTAGGAGGGTATCTGGAGTTACCAAACAGAGAGAAACGGGCTCCGTGCAAAAAGCAGTTTGTGGTGGAATATCAGTAACTTCCTGATATTGCTGCAGTTTGGCATTTTAGGAGTAAATCATTAAGATCACTTGGGTAGTGGCCAACTTGTGCACTGCAAGAGGACAGAGCTGCTTTTCGATATAGACATCGGATGTCGACTGTTTTGTGTGATCGTGAGAAAGTTGTTACGAGTCCAGTAATCCTTACTTCTAAAATTAACACTTTTTCTGCTGTTACTGCCACACGCTCGGCTTGGCACGCTGCCACTTGTCCCCATCCCAGGGCGCAATAACCCAGCTGCGAGAATCGGCCCCATTTCGGCACACGCGCCCTGCTGCTGCGCCGGCGCGGTTTGCAGTTCACGTGGTTACGATACCCCGCTGTATTATTTTATGATGTCTTAAATAGTGGGGTTTTGTGTTTCTTCCCCCTCCTCCTCCCCCCAACTTCCAAGTAATTAGGGAAATTAAACCCTAGAAATGGAACGATGCCTTGGTAAGAGGTGATGAGAGGCAGCCATAACGTGTTGTACGCTGGGCGAAGCTCGTTCCGTGTGTACAGCAACATCAGGACAACATCTGTCCTTTGCAGAAGTGCAGCAGAAACTTCCCACAACAATCACAGTGATTTCCCTTCACGCACCATTTTTAATCATAGGCGAATTTCAAACAGGTATCTCTGTGGAGACACGTTTCTCAGGTGTTACAGTTTTTCATGCTATTGATTGCTGATACCCGTTTGCCATTTTGGAAGGTTTACCTAAAAGAAGACCTTTATAAAATTGATTAAATGACATCTTTATCATTTATGATTTGTTAATGACATCTTGATAAAAGCTTTAAGTCCCCACCAACCACCTTGGACTATTTGGCCAGTCGTTTTTAGAAAGGACAAGAGAAAGGATGGAAATAGAGCTTCCTCTTTCTTCGGTTGAGTGAGCCGTGGGGCAGGAACCACTCGAAGCCTCTCTGGGGATATGAAAAGGACTGGAAATATCACACTTTAAAGAAGTTTGCACGACATTTACTCACTGCTCGCGTAGGAAAGGAGCCTGCTAGAAGAGCAGAGTCACTGGTGGCCATGCTGATCCCTACATTCCCTGGGCAAGGTCACCTCTAAGGAAAAGGGCCCCAGGGAGCTTTTTTTAATAGTCTCAGGTAAAGGCTGCCTGGAGGGGCTTCAGGAAAAATGTTCTGGAGGTTCATGGTCTGGACATGTGTAGTTGCCCTTAGTAAATGGATTTGGGAGGTGATCCGTGAAATTGGGCAGGAAACCTTTAAGGCGAGAAAATTGCTAGCAGTGATTAAATGAAATTAAGAAAATGAGCTTTAAACAAGGAAGGTGTGGTGCTGGCCAGCGGAGCCCCAAAATTTCTCAGCGCTTAATTGGACGATGCTTTTGCACTTTCAGGGTGAATGCAACTGGAACTGGTTCATCTCCCTTGCTGCTCCTATTTCATTTATCACCATTGGATTATTGCTTCTGTTTACTCTTAGTAGAGTCCTTTCACTTGCATTATTTGGTGTAAAAAACCTTCCAGCTGCTGTGCTCAGCCTGAACTACAATTAGCGTCGGGTAATAATGGAGCAATTAACTACAATTAACATGGAGTAATG